ACAGAGAGAGAGAAAAGCTTTGTTACATAAAAAGCTTTGTTATGCTTGGTCCGACAGGGCAATTGGTCCTCAGTGCTAATATAAAAAAATACAATGTCTTGGTGCTTTGTTACTCAAAACAGTTTTTAGTCTAGACCTCGATGGCACATGCATTGCAACACTGCATGAAATGGCTACTTTGTTCTAGAAACACCACACCAAAACACAGAGTGCCAGCTCCAGGGATGCCATGATTCCTCTCTGACGAATTTTAACATCCCCTTCTAAATGCATTTTGTAGAAAAGAAAAAGTACTTAAAAACTGAAGCAAAGCAGAAGGGGAATACCCTAGTGCCAACCTACCCAAATGGAGGTTTTTAGTCTTATATTTTTCAAGAGCAATATAAAGTTCTCATCAGCAAACCTGTTGCTGACAAAAAAAGAGAGGAGGACAAAAAAAAATAGACGATCTGAGCGGAGACGTGGGGCTTAATTTGCCTGCAGAATAAAAAACAAAAAAACTATTTCATGGAGCAGATTTTGTCGCGACAGTCTCTGCCTGGATTCCAGTAAATTCTCCCTACGCTTTGTTTTGTGGTGCTAAATAAATGCTTTCGGGTGCCAATCACAAAGAAAAGAAGTGAATGCAGAATCCCAGTTGCTATTTCAATAGCATTAAGGGTTTATTGCAGTCCTTGAAAAAGACACCCTGCTCTATTCAGGATTAAAAAACAAAACAAACAAACAAAAAAAAAAATCAGGTCATTTGCGAGCGTCATGACATCCCTAGGGTGCTGGAGACACCATTTTTATTTTCTTCTGAAAATACGGAAACTAAGCAGATATAGATGGATATTTTTGTTGAACAAATTCCATTTTTAGGCACAAATAGTACAGAAACATCGGAGGAACACTGAGGGAAGAACTATATCGATGCCAATGTATATATATATTTTTTTCCAACATAGAGAAAAAAAGTGGCATAGAGTATCATTTTATTTTGTATCTGATCTGATTAGTGCATTTTTCCACTAATACACACACACGCACGCACGCAACATAGTTACACACTCTTTTACGCACTCTTTCACCCGCACGAAAAAGTAGAAAACATTCAGAGGACGATGATAGGAATAATGTGACTGATCAGGTCTTGCATTGTGGAGGTTCAGACTGAGCCGTGACTGCGTATATTATAGTGGGTGGATATTATATGAGGGTGAAAAAGCCCCTCAGCTCACAGTGTTTGAGAATAAAATGGCAAGACACCACGGGACGTGCCATCCCTTCTTCTTTTTTTTTTTTTTTTTTTCAAATACAAAAACAAAAGACATGTCGACAGTCAAGTTTGATTGAAAAATTGTGAATGACAAGTACTAATTGGTCGGTTTGGCAGCGCCCTTCTGCCGTCCCGTATTTTATCTTTTTTTTTTTTAAGCTTTTTTTTTTTTTTTTTCGTCACATACACACACACTCGTAAAATTTGTGGCGGATAGATTTAGTCCTTCACCTACAATGCAATTGACATCCAGAAAGCAACACTTATTATTACAATATGTTCACGCACATGTTTTTTTGTCCAACAATATCAAAGAGGAGCAAGGCAAAAATGATTCACACCCAGAGAGAGAAAAAAAACAGGTTAAAAAAAAAAAAAAAAAGAAATACAAATATTTGTGCCCTGCTGTAACCCTCCACAAATGGAAAAAGGACTGACACTGAATACAAAAATATCACAATTTTTATATATCAAATTGCCTCTGTTGGCTCTTGTTCAGGAATACGCTCATTTCTCAAGAGGAGCTTGACAGCCGAGAGAATCTCTATTTTTAACCTTCTGGTTTTTCTTTTTTTTTTCTTTTCTTGTGTTGATTACCACTTGCAGTTCCAATTGTCCAACGCACTCTGCATCACTGCAAATATGACCTGTCCTGGGCGGTTCAGCGTTTGTTTTTTTTTGTTTGTTTTTTTTTGATGAACCTTCCTTTTTTTCACATTACAAAACTACACTTCTATTCACATATTTTCAAGTTTTAATTCTTGTTTTTAAACCCTCTTAAAAAGCAATAGTACTTCCTCTTATCTGCCGCATCCCTCTTACTCATCACTTAAGGCTTCAAAATTGCTTTTTCTTTTCTCTGCTCTTCTGTGGTTGGAGGTGCAGGGGGAGACTATAAGAGAAGAATAAACGTCCATTTGAATGACTTTCCAAATCCTATCAACCTCTACTTTTGTTATCTCTTACGCTTTTATATACATTTTGCTTAAAAACAGACAATCATAAATCAACTTTTGAAAAAAAAAAAAAAAAAAAAGCATGAGATGAAGTAGCAATGATGAAATAATGCAAAACACAAACACAAAAAAATGTGCTTTTGCCAAAAATAATGGAACAACTTAGAGGTAGCTTTTATAACAAATGACCAAACCTTCCGGCTCTTTAACAAGCGGGGTTAATAATACCAAGTTTGGTAACAAGTAATGCACAAAGAAATACACAACATTAGAAAAACAAACAAACAAAAAAATCTCTTCACCGTGGCACTTAATTTTTCTGCGTACGCATTGCGTCATCACGTCATGCAATACGTCTTTCCGACACACACTCATGAACACACGAAAAAGTGTACAAATGAAACAAAAGGGAAAATTAAAATACACAAGCAACATGAGGTCACAAAACGAGGTAATTCAAGTACGATGTGTTGAGATCAAACTCAAGGTCAATAATAACAACAACAACAACAACAACAACAACAACAACAACAGGAGACGAGAGAGACGAAGCGCAGGGACAAAACCACAGAGAAAGAGTTGATTTATTCTGTCGTCTTACTGGTCGCCCCCTAAGCTGCTGGGCAGTGTCTCGTCCTATCAGTGATTTCCCCCTTTTTTTTTTTCCACCGGCCATTTGGATATGTGATCAACCCGGTAACGCTGTGACGTGCAGTGATGCTCATTAAAGCCTTAGGTTCACCCATAATACCTGTGGCTGTAGTCCTACAAGTCTAATGCTGCATTTCAGAGACATCAGAAAATCGGAAATTCCCACCTCCCTCTCAACAAAACGAGCTTTTCAGTTTGTGCTGTACGCAGAGTTGTGGTCATGTCAGCATCGCAACATACACTGTAAATGCTACATGTTACTTTTAACATGACCACAGTGGTAACTGAAATGCAAATATGTACCATTTAAACACTATTTGTGATATAACTACAGGTAAGGAGCCTCAGATAACGCAGGACCCACCTTTAGATCCTAATTCCAGTTGCTACTCTTCTCCAGTGGTGCACACTCTCAGACAAAAAGGCTTCTGTGGCCCCTGATGGACTGGGGGCCCTCTCCTGTTTTGCCCAGTTCAACCTCACACAGGCTCCGCCCTCTACTGGACTCAATAGGTAATACTCTCCTCCACATATTTGCCCACTGAAATCTGCATAAATGTGTCATTTAATCAGAACGTGCCTAAACGAATACATGCGGTGCCCACAATGTATATAGGAGCTTTATGACGGATTGTCCACATTATTTTATATTGGCCCCACACCCATTGCCAACATGGATGGGTTTACCCAAGTGGGCCCCAGATAAGATCCCCAATATGAATAGTAAGACAGCACGTGTTTGACCATCCTTTTAGTGGTTACTCTGAGACCACACACATACTTAGCAGATCCAGTGTGGACTGAAAGCGTACGATGTAACGCAATGTGGTGCGATAGTCAGATGCTCGCTTGCTGTTAGGACATGGTCACTAGCCTCCTATATATGTTGTGGGCTCTACACATATTTGAGAAGGCACATTCTGATTAGCTGGTTACATTTACCCAGATTTCAGTGGACGAATGTGTGCTCGTGATTAGAGGAGAGCATTACCCTTTGAGTCCAGTCAAGGGCAGACCCTGTGCTAACAGAACTAGGGTTACAATATCGTAACCTTTGTTAGTAATCCAGCCTTGCTTCAATGTTCACTAAAGTTTGAATTTGAAGATCACATGACCTCAAGGCCCTGATGTGCAATCTGTTTCAGCCCTTTCATCAAGACCATTTTATCCCATTTATCATAACACCTGGTGGTGAATGATTATATATATCTATTTCAAATGTAAAATAGCATTTAGAGCTGCTAGCTAGCTAGCTAGCTAACACACGAGCTGTTGCATGAAGAGTATAGTATTCTGATTCTGAAGAAAGTCTGAACCAAGGCATGGAGACTAAAAACCACCTCCAAGCTGGGAGTTACAGGTTTCTGACTTCCAGTGAAAGGCAGCATTGACCTGCTGTGTATCTGACGACAGCCTAGTAAGAACCTGGCTCACAGTCTTTCACATTCATGTTTTGATGCCATATAACAGTCTTTAACCTGCCACACCACGTTTGACAACAGGGGTGCAGCTAAGGCATTCCCAGCACTTCTTCAACATTCACAACGAGCAGTCGAAGTCACAGGACTCCCACGGAAAGCAGCCTTTTCCCATTTTGTTTTCCATCACTGTGGTGAATGGACAGATCTATTGTGGCGTACAAGTGTTAACTGCTTATGTGTCAGTTTGTGTAGTTCATCATTAGTGTGAGATAATGATAGTTATCTGGTTAAATGTACATGGATAAAAGCAGTCCAGTTATCTATTGCTGAGTAGGTGAATATGCAGGGTTTAATGTGGCATACTGTGATAGCGAGTTATGATTTAATGAAAAAATATATAACTTGCAGACATCAAACAGAGACTGTTGTCGTAATTTCTTTTTTACCTGTGCAATGAAGCCATGATAAACTGCTGTACGATGCAGAGCTAAAAAAATACAAGATGAAAAAAGTGACACAAGTTGGCTCTCTGCGGAGAACCACGGGTGGCCAGTGGTGACTCGACCTTCTCCAGCCCTCATCCGACAGAGATGCAGGACCAGGAAGACAACTGAGAAAACTGGGGAGACTTCCAACAAAAAAAGCAGCACTAGCATCTTCTCCCCCCCCCCCCCCCCCCCCCCCCCCCCCCCCCCCCCCCCCCCCCCCCCCCAAACAACCAAACAGGTGCTTGGTTTGCAGTATTTTAGTGCTCCCATTCATCCAGTTCAACTGTTTCATGTACTGCATATACCCACCGGCTCTGCTCCACTGCTGATTCTCAGGGGCTATCTCACTGCCACTGCTGGGATCCAAAGGATCTGGGTATGGTACTGGCAGAAAATTGGGAAGATCTGTGTCTAATGCACAGGCAGAAATGACACAAGTTTGCAAAACAGATACATCTCCTGTTAGGGATGGGAAGAATTAGGGGCTTGCTCACCTGAAGCAGTTCACTCAAGCTCTTCAAATGCTTCTTGATGAGTTGAAAACTGTTGAAAATAACATCTCAATTCTCCTACAAGATAACTACCATGACAAGAAGGGTTTTGGCTTCTGAAAGCCAGCAGTTCCTCAATACTTGGAAAGCAACCCATGACATGATTAAATGGGGGCCTAAACTGCTGCTCATATTCACATATTGCTCATGTGATCCAAACTAGTATGACTAAGCAATGCAAATGTAAACAAACCAATACCAAAGTAAAACAAAAAAAAAAGCCTTTCCTCCGTTTGGAAAGTAAAAGAACTCAAAATGGAGTGATGGCAAGGATGTGCAGGTTCAGATAGCCCTTGAGAATCTGCTTTCTCACTCGCAGCAGCATCCAAAAAGTCACTTCCTTGCAGCTCGCTTGCTGTATGGCGCTGCATGAAATGACCTGAAACAATAACACAGTTGCAGATGTAGTGAATGACCCGGTGAATCCGAACTATGGTGGAGAATCTCTCTCCGTGTCCAAGTCTTTCTCTCCTTAGCACTTCTGTCCCACAATCACCACCCTTTTACCCCACTGGTCGCCGCCGCCTTTGCATGAAAAGTAAAAAGAGAAAACAAACCCTCTTGCTTTCAAGTCTCTTGCCGTTGACATTCCTACATCGTCAACACTCCACCACAGCATCCTATCCGCTGAATTACATTCCCCTTACCTCTCAACCCCTGCCCCCTACCCTCACACATACCCTCCCTCTCTTCATTCGCTCTCCCGGCCTCAGACATAGCAGAGGTACAGGTAGGTCTTCTCTATGCGCCAGTCTGGCGGGATGTCTTCGGGCTTGTGGCCTTTCATGTGCTTCTGCATGGCTGACAGGCTGGGGCAGTACTCCAGGCAGATGGTGCATTGGTAGGGCGAGGCGCCGTTGTGGGTGCGCAGGTGCTTGATCATGGCCGAGTAGTCCCTGGATCGCTGGTGGCACAGCTTGCACTCGAATGGCTTCTCACCTAAGGATGATAAGGGTGGGGTTGAAGACAACAATTATGTCAGCCAAAGTGCAATTCAGTGACAGTGTTATGTGCTTGTTGAGCCGTGATGTGCCTGTTAATCAGGAAATAAATGCACTGGATACTGGAATCAAAGCAAAGAAAAGGAAAGGATGCATTCCACTTGTAATTCATGTAAGACATGTAATTCACTTATCTCCACCAATACCAATAAAGTCAGAGCATCTTTGTGAAGTCATGTACCAGCAATGGCATATCATTGTTTGCAGAGATGGGCAGTATTTCAGTTAAATTAAATATTATCTAATTTTGAGTATTTTGGGATTTGTATTTTGTTGGACAGAAAAAAAGATCTAATTTGTAACAAAATGCCATTAGAGCATGCATCTGTGTATTTCAATTCTTACAATACATTATTTAATATGTGTTTTTATTCTCAAGCAAAGTCGTTTTTCCACTGCACAAAAAACACCAAATGCGATGCCAATTTTCGCGTCCTGTTACTTGTGTGAGTTTGAATGCTAAAATATTTTGTGTTGACTCGTTTCATATGCATGAATAACTTGCGTCATATGTGCGTGAAAATGCTGAATTCATGAATGAACGTCCGCATGTAAGTTCTCCATATCATATGTCCCTGCAGGATCTCAATGCTGATTGGCTATTGCAGTGCAAATTGGTTGAAGTTCAGATTTCTAAACTCTCACAAATAAACGTAGAATGAGAAATTGCACTATTTTGCTTCACTCACACTGCTTAATTTGCGGAGGGTTAAAGTCAGATTCACACTGAGGCTACTAAATGCCGAATATGTGATTTTATCAGTTTGTCTCATACCAGTACTTTGAATTTTATTTTGACATATTTGATGAGCAGATATTTGTAACAAGATACTTTTTGAGGCATTGGTGCCCATCTCTGATTGTTTGCATAAAATGCCAATGTGTGGATCTTCTATGCCTTGATAGCCAAATTGCTGTGGCCACTGCAGTGTCATTACAACCTGGCTCTTATTTTGTAGTTTTGGCCATGATTACAAACAGATTATCTGCACCACTTTATCTGGAGGTAAAACTGCAAGTGCGAGTGTGCGAGTGCACAGAAAAACTGTGCGCACAACTATGGTAAGCAAATTTGCAAATCCTTGGATAGCGAAGGAATGAACTGCCCTACACTTCCCTTGATTGGCTAGCACTTGTTGCCTTTGTTGGTTGAATTCGATAGAGAGGGGTTGGTCAACAGATCCTCACTCTGACCTTGTCACATATCGACATTTGGTCTTGGACTTTCCAGGTTGTTATGACATGCAAGGTATTTTGAAATTTTGGGACGCCGTGTCAAATTCTGCCTGTTACATGCATTGCCCTTTTTCAAAATACACTTCCATTTTTACCGGAAATGTATCGTTTATGTCACTCTACACTTCGTTTACATACTCTTTCATTGGTACAGCATTGCAAATTGACGTTTTTTTTCCCCTTCGACAACCAATGCACATGGTTGGGTTTAGGCAACAAAAAGAACAGGGTTTGGCTTTAGAATCTTACGAGATGCCAACATTGGCCTCCCGCGTGAAAATCTGTGTTTCTTGGACCCATCCACCACCCCTCCTACCCGCTCTTCTTGGACTTTCGGCGCCTTAACTTTCGTTCTTGTCCTGTTCCGTTTTCCCTGATGCTGCAAAGCACCGTTAAATGATACCAGTGACTGGCTATGTATCATGCCGACATTTAAGAACAGGTTTTTTTGGTGGTGTCTGATGTCGCAAGTCCATGCCCAAGCGCCAGACTTCAGAGTGAGACTGGGTTGGGTTGGTATGGGTAAGAATGTCCGGGTAAGCCAATCAGAGGCAGAGTAAGACAGAGTAAGGCGGGCCATTCCTTTGCTACCCTGGGATTCACAAATTCACCTCTGGTAAGTATGGTACATCTTTCTTTTCTTTGTCAAAGAAAACTGGGGGTAATCTTTTTAGTGATCACTGCAATCAACTTTAAGCTTTATTAGTTATACGGATTCTGGCCAAAGCTACAAAAATCAAGATCCACAGTGTAATGAAACTGCAGACTGCAGCATATGAAACCTGTTGTGTGAGGAGTAAAAAAAAAAAGTCTCCTTGTCAGGGCTTCAGGAGAGAAGAATGTCCCATCACCACTAATTTAGAGACCACAGATCTCACCCTGTTGGCCCACAAGAAATTCTGGTGCTGTTATGATAATTGGACTCTGCACACAGTAAGTGACAAGCCAAAACCCCGGAGTGAAATCCCAACTGTCTCTAGAACAGCAGTGTGCAGCAGTAAAAGACCACACCAACTCTTTTAAGTCATTCCAACTGCCCCTGATAATTGGTACGACTCAAAAAGAGGAAAAGAGGAATAAAAGCTTTAACGTACAGTAGCAGAGTTTGTTCACTTCTGAGAGACAGAATCAACACAGTCCTGTCCCTCTAGCGGCTAACAAATGATCTGCTAATTATTCTTGTGGTTGAGGGTATAAATCCTTAGTGTTCAGGTGTTATCAATTCTCATTACTACCTTTATTGAAAAGACCCCACTGTACTGGGATACTGGAACCGTGCAAGGCCTTTTTCACATCCTGCCGTGCAACAGAGGAGAATGAAAAAGAAATGTCTTGCTATTCCATAGAACGTGTTTCGATCGAATGTGGCAGCAGAGGTTTTTAAGAGCATGCAGAGAATAACTTACTTTTGCTTATTAAAGTGGAAATAGACAACCTCCTTGCATTTCCAAGTGGTGTTATTGGGCCTCAATCACAAACAGTGCACATGAATTAATCTGTGCTTACACTACGTGTATGAATATTATAGTACAAAACTGGGATTCATTAATATTTTCTTACCTGAATTTGTTCGTACTCTGCAAACAAATTTAGACCAACTAAGACTATGCATACACACAAATGATGAAGGCTCAGCTGTGTAATGATGGCTGCCCCCGACTGAGAATTTTCCTTATTGACAAGTAGTCGTCATTTAGGGCCATTAGTCGACTCATTGCATGTATGTATAGGATATTAATTCAATCGTTATATGTTTTGGGCAGGGCAACACAATGGTTTGAGTTGAAGGTGTGAGAAAGAATAGTATCAGTAACATTGTTAACACTGTGCTACATTACAGAGAAATACAAAAGTATACTAATGAACCTTCATTAATATAGGCCTATATTTTATCTACAAGTGCACGTCACACACTGAGCGAGCCGCCTGTTAATGACGCTGTGGGCTAATGGGCATGTAGCTACTTCCATGTTTCAGATGATACGTCATGTTTGTAGTCGACCAATGAAGATGAGTTTACATATCACCTTGGGTTAGTCCTTGACCTTCTCAAAATGATCCCACACTTTGGATTTCCTGCCCGACATGTTATTAACTAGCCTGTGGAATAACCGCAGGTACCAGCCCTGGAAATTAACCTGACTCCTGTCTGACTGCTAAAGGATTTCGGAAAAGCTGTACGTTTCTTAAGTTAGTGTGCTTGTGGTTCTTGCCCTGTTGGACGTTATTGTACAATTTCAACATGTTTTAAGGTCTCACTGATACTTTGGTGAGTATAATGTTATGATAACTAACAGAAGTGATGGTTCGAATAAGAACTGAGTCACAGCAAACAAGAGTTATTGAGAGAAGAACTAAAGACATAATCTAAACAGGCTAAACTTCCAGAAATGTTTAAATGTCTGGTATTTCCTTTATAAGCCACATTTAATCACTTTAGTGCATTACACAAAATATAGCTCCTGCCATGGAGAACTCCTAAAGGTGTCATAAATCAAAGTGCAGCGCTGCTTTCTTGCTGTGGGGGCTGCTATATTCAAGAAGCACATTTCAATTCAGCAACGGCGGCCATCCTAAATGTGCTAATGATTTGAGTGATGGCAGGGAATAATCCACCAGCGCTCAAGCCGGCAGACGCAAATTAGACATGTAAATGCTGACCTTTACCAATGGCATTTGAAATGAGCTGTCGGATGTGATCTAGCCCAACGCTCGCTGTCACCTTTCAGCTGGAGCCTCGCACATGTGCGCTGGCAAAACGGGCAGCCTCACGCCTCCACTGCTCGTTCTGTCTGTCCTCTTGGAGCCACGGTAACCTTGACCTCCGTCGGGGCTGGGTTATGCTGCCATTCAGCCAATGAGCATAAATACAGTGCTGCGGGTCGTCATGTGTTACCCTGCAGCAGTGTGGACACCTGCATTATGTTGATATTGATAACCAGACTGTAAACAGGGTCGCCTCAAATAACCAGCTAATAATGAAATGCAAATGGGGCCCAGGTATTGATCCGCCATTGGCATTTGGGATGTGTGGAGAGACGGGGGCGGCGGGGGGGTTAGGTTGCCAATGTCGATGATTCATCAAGCAGCTCCCTTTTGTGCGAGGTGGCCTTTGACTGTGAGCTTGTCACTTGCTCTTGTTATCTGCTGTTGCTCTCCGGCTTAACGCAAAGCCCCCTCCCCCACACAAAAGGGGAAAGGGTGGACGGGGGGGAGCCAATTATTGGACAGGCTGCCTTGATAGTGTGGCTTAACAGCTGGCTTATTGAATGGGAGATGGGAGGGTGCTGCTGCTGCTGCTGCTGCAAGTGTGTGTGTTAGAGAAAAAGAGATGGTGAGGAAGCATAAAGCCTTGGCTGTGTGCCATCCTGGTGAGCACTCGTGATATCCTCACTCAGTCTGCTACGTGGCGTGCACTCATTCTCCAGGGCACCCAGCTTATCACTGTGTCAACATCTTTATGGGGCTCTAAATATACTGGGATCAATACAAAGTCTTCTGAGACATTCATCTACTGTATCACAGCAACAAAGATATTCATCTGGTCTGGTCTGTGCCTCGCAACTTGGGTTTCCTACAGCAGAGTCCTTTAACAGGCACCAAAAGCTGCATCAATATGTTTCACCATTCTCTTTTAATGAAGGGCAGTGAGATATAATGTTGCTCTCATATCAGATTAGAAGTGGCAGAAAGGAATGACATGTCATTGCACCAATCTGAACATATGAACACATACATACATGTATTTTGGCTGTAGGTAGATAACAAAATTGTGCAATATAACATCCAAAACATTAATTTAGACCAAATCATAATGTCTTTTCTGACAGATAAGTGCAGCCGTAACAAAATCGCTTATTTAAGTAGCATAACACAGAGATATTGGTCTACTGCTGTCTCTGTTGGTTAAAGTGGAGCAAATATTCAAAAATAGCGTACACGTACAGATATAGATTATTTTACGTGGTTAAAATATGTTTTTGCTGTGGCGTTATCCACAGCAGTACATTGCTTAGCTTCCGTGCCGGTAGATTTGGTTTATCGAAGATGAAAACAAAGCAACGAAGTACATAAAATAAGTTCAGCAGACACTTCAGATAGGTCGGACCACCGTGTTTAACTATCTATAAACATTACAGTTATGACTGAAAATGACAACAGATATCGACTATCGACAACACTCAGAACGGTCCAAAAGCTGAGTGTGGAACATGTTTTTTGCACTAAGTACAAATACTATTGTCAAATTGAAGCAGTCAGTAATGTTTGTTGGGTCTGTAATGATTTGGTACCACAAACAATAATGTGAGTGCTAATGTTAGCTTGCTAGCTAATGTTAGCATTCTCTAGCTAGCTAACTTGCTCTGAGCTACAGTGGCACATTTTAATCAGCACTGACATTGGAGCATAACTTTGGTTTATGTGTGGACGGAGGTCAGCTGTCAAATGTTGGCGCTAATGCTCAACCAGCAATTTGCTATTCGCCGTTTAAAAAGAAGATGATGAAGAAGAAGAGGCAGTAGAAACAAAAGAAGCTGTTATCACTTCCAATGAGTGCAAAACAGCAGTGCGCAATTTGCAACAACACTACTGTATTGAAATTAGTGCACCACGGGTGGTAAGTACATAGTGTACATAGTATACTACATTGAAGTGTACTAACTGAAGTATGTGATTTGAGACACTGTCCAAGGCGGAATTTGTACTTCTACTTCGAATCGATGCCGTACCTACAGCGTAGGCTCTGCGTCAACATAAAGCCTACACCATAACCTACCTCGTAGCCTGATGTCCACCTAAAATGCCATAGGCTTGTGCTAATAACGTTAGCATGTTGTATTTGTGGGGAAAATGTGTCCAGATAAAGTCAAGTGTTTGTCTGTGAATGCTGCGAGTTATAGTGAAGCTGATTTGTGTACTTGTGTTTGAACTTGTCTCTATTAAGCCATGTTCAATGTGTGTTTAATGTGTATTTAATGTGAATGTAATTTGAATCCACTAAACTTTACAGCACTTCACAGAAACCTCCACTGCCACCTAGTGTTTTGGAGGTGTAACTGGAGAGTGACACGGACAAACCCCTGCACAAGTATAAATGCTCACAAGGGCGTAGGCTATGGTGTAGGGTCTGCTGCACAAGTATAAATCACGCTTAAGAAGACAGCCATTAGCTTAGCTTAGCTTAGCTTAGCGTAAAGACTGGAAGCAAGGGGAAACAGCTAGCCTGTCTCCGTCCAGTACAGATTGTTGTTTTAGAGGTATGCAGTGAAACTATATTATGTCAAACAAAAGCAGCATCTTAGTCACAGTGAGGTTGCCAGGTTTGGTACCATCATGCCTGCACAAAGACTAAAACCTCACTGACCATATCTGGCAACCCGTGCTATCATTTGAGATGCTACACAAGATGCTCTGGGCAGAAGGATAAACTGTTGTAAATCAAGAAATAGTTCCAGCACATAACTCCCCGTAAGACCACAAACACTACTCAATCCTTTGATCATCAACATCAAGAAGTGCCGCGATTTTCTCTTCAAACAACAAACAGCCTCTTTGTCGGCCTGACTTTATTTTTGATCGCAGTACCTGTGTGCACACGGTAGTGGGTTTCCAGCTGGTGCTTGAGGCTGAACTTCTTCCCACAGCCGTTACATTCATAGGGCTTCTCCCCGGTGTGGATGCGTTTGTGGCCCTTCAGCGTGCTCTCATCTCGGAAGCAGCTCCCGCAGAACTCGCACTCAAATGGATGGTCCCCTGCTGAAATGTGGAGAAACACAAGCAAAGTTTACTTTGTCTGCAGACAAGATCTTGTTGTGAAAAGGCAACGGTGCAACAACTTCCTGAGGCCAAAAACATGAAGCTTTTCTCACATTTACTTACAAATACAAATCTTTAACATAAAGTCGTGACAAACTAGAATCTTTTATGTTTATGGTTGGTAACAGCAGTCAGACTGTGGCTGGATGGTTCACACCACCCAGAAATATTCAAGCATACAGGTGTGACACCTAAAGGGAGCAACATTACTGAATGTTTTGTCAGATTATTTTGGTGGGTTTATGCACAAAGCCAGAACAATAGGTGTTTATCCTCTAGTGGATACCCACTTACCAGCGGACCAATGTAACCCGTCTTTTGTCTCCTCTATAAATCACCTGCACTGTTATTTTGCTTTGTGTGGAATAATTCTAGCCTGTCATGGCTGTTCACTGGCCATGAGATGTATCATTGAACAGTCCACCGGTCTCACAATGCATTAATGGATAAACTGACTGTCGTCTTTATGTGAATATATATATCTTTTCTCCAATTTATTTCATTTCTAATGCCTTTTTGTCTCATGTGAATCACTTTGAGTTGACCCATTGTTAAAAGGTGTTACATACAAATAGTCTTGCCTTTGATCCAACGAATCAAGACTTTTATGAAGGCTGTCAGGAATAAAGGGGTTTAAGTACATTTTTGTAGTGGCAGCCAATCACCATCCTCGATCTGTTTTGGTTCAAATTTTGTATGTGGGAGTCAGGAAAAGGGCACTGCTGTTGACACAGTGGTGTAGGTTTTGGGATTTCATGAATGCACTGTTGGGTTTAATGTTCCTAATTTGGATCACCATCTTGCTCTAAAAGAACAATGAGTTGTCATCCATCTCTCTGAACGACACTCCAAATCCTGCAGAGTTCAGTTTGTCTCTGACTGCACGCCAAGGGCATAGGTTTGCATATGGACAGTAGGGTCGCCACCAATAGAGCGCACTCGTTTGCATTATCCTCATTCTAACAACTCTGCATAAAAATCGCATCTCATATTGATTCAGTATAAGGGACAGTGCATTTTGTTTTTCAATAACCATCAATCACGTGTTATATCTGATTAAAAGTGTTTTTTCAGTTAGTTTCGGTGTGCCACCTTCGATGAAGAGCTGCACACTGCCACAAAAACTTTGCCTCTTCCAAAGAGAGTCTCAAACGAGCATCTGTGTTCGTCAGACGGTCTGTACAGGGTACTACCATATCAGCATAGCAATATACACACCGGACTATTAGGCAGGTAGATTTTTTTTCTTGAAATATTATGACTTAAATCTGATTCAGTTTTCATTCAGATTTATTTTTAAAGTATTAATTTTTTTTTTTAAAATATTTGACAATTTCTACAATCAGGCTTGTGCCTCACCAACTGCATCGCTAATTTTCTGTCTCCAAAATGTCTGTAAGCATGAGTCAAAGTTTCTCATAAATGAGACCCCAGATTGCCCATTTGCCATAGAAAATTCATTTTCTATCAAAATCAAGACACAACACCACTAAAAGATAGTAGTAGTAGCAAAGTTGACATTACAGTAGTTTATCGTGTCCAAATATTACAAAAAACATTTCAATATCTTCCGTCTCTTTTGTTCTGCCGCTGTGTTTACTGAGGTAAATTTTGATTGCACTCCAAAGTCATCAAGAACAGGCGCTTGGTAGGTGACTTCCAGCATCAGACACTGACAAAAAAAGTTGTCTTTTCATGTCGGCTTGATATGCTGGCAGTCTTGGTTATGGAGGGGTGGTGGATGGTCACAGTGACAGTGACATCATGTCCAAACTTGGGTGTGCAATGTCCATACAGTGCAATTTATTAGAAAAAAGCTCACGACATAATTTAATTTCTAAAATTTGCTGCAAGCCATTAAAAATTGTGCCAGTGGGCCATAGTTTGGCTATGAAAGGTTCAAAATTAGGGACTGAACTTGTTCCATGTTGGTGGAAAAGGGGTACGAGTGGACTAGATTGGACTCTTTGGCAGGCCAATTCTGGCCTGCAGGCTGTATGTTTGACACACCTGATTTAAGGTAACCTTTGCTTAAATAAAAGAGCTGAAAGTGAAAATGAAGTTGTACATTAAAATATCTCTATCTGCCTTTCCATACCTTTACCGTCAGTGTATCACCTCACTGACAGCTGTCTGTTTCTATTCATGGCTCCTCTGTCTAATCCTTTCACACCAGGTAAATGTATTCTCACCTTTTATTTACAGAGCCACACATTTACATTCTGAGACATTAGACTTATTTTAGACAGCAGGCTGGCAGTGGATGTACAGAATGTGTGCCTTCAGAAATGTAAAATGACAACAGGCATCATATTCTCGTCCCCGCGCTGCCGGAGCACAGGTCCCCACAGGGCAGCTGTAATGGATATTCAGATGTCAATGATCAGGGATATTATGATTTGCAGGAGGCTCTCACCAGCAGTCCAAAGACTAATTGTATTCTCGTGTTTGATGAGGAGCTGCTCCTTGCGTCATTTGCCCCCCCCCCCCCCCACCCCCCTGCGGGTTACACTCTCCAGCCAAGTAATGTTGTGGATATTTATTAATGTATTTCACTCCACCGCTGCAGGTTTAAGTCACCATCAATGACCTATGCCTTTCATTATCTGCCTGTCCGAGCAGCAACGTGCCAGGGAATAAATTGCATTTCTCGTTATGTGCTGCTGCTGCTGCCCTGCTGTTAAGAGACAATTTCACTTCCATCCTGCATATTTTATTTAAGATTTTATGCCTGTCTATACAGTATGAATGTGTTTATTTGGTTTATTTAGGAGCTTAGATAGACAGAGGGATGAAAGAGGGATGAGAGATTGAAACTCCTTAAATGCTGATCACATTTTTGGCATGCTATACTTTCATGGAAGAAACGTTTTCTGTGCCTTGTGATGTTGGACGCCTTCCCATTAAAGGGAAGCTTTGATGGGGGGTGCAGGGGGTGGAGGAGGGTTAAAGCTGAGACAGGGATGGAGCAGGGGATGTGTGTGTATATGGCGGCGGTGGTGGGGGCTGGATAAAAATCAATAAAAGTGACAGTCTTTATTTGTCTGCGTGAAGTTATCAGTGGCTCCCGCTGTAAGACATTGTGCTCTTTCTAGCGTTTCAACCACAGCAGAGATCACAATCCATCACGGAGCTCGGTGGGCTCGCACGACGCTGCAAGAATAATAATTGAGCTCGGATTCACCTGCCTTTAATTAGGGCCTCCGATCAGACCAGCGAGTGGGATGCTAATACTCAGAGGAGGCCTATGGAGGGTTATTTACGCTTAATGTCCTGTTGCTGCGTTAACGTCTGCTGTTAGAGAACATCATCAAAAATCTTGAATAAGTAGGAATGAGCTTACTGTCTTTCATGTTTTAATACAAGGTGTCTTACGTAAGAAATAACAGTGTTTATGCATCAGAACATTTACTGCAAAATATTTATACTTCTGACCTCTTTTTTGGTTAATTTCAGAATACTACTAAAACCAACTTGCACAGACTTGAAACAATTGATAAAAATTATTCGTATTGATCTAATCACATTGATATGTCTCATGGATTTCTTTGCAGATGCTCTGAAGCCCTGATTTGTCTTGTACTTCACTTAATTTTGACATTACTGCTCAAAATCCTAAATCCTTAATTTTAGGAAGCCATTTGGTATTAGTGTGGGAGTTCAACCCACCTGAACTCTCAGCTTCTGTGGTTGTGAGTCTTTTAATTTTAAAGGCCCTGACTCACCAAACCAACATCAAAGAACTAGTGGTGATGAAGGCTGACTGTTGGCTGTGCCTCGGCCAAAAAGTTGCACATGAACACGCTGCAAAGACTAAAGCCAATGGCCAACTAGCACGTATGCTCTGCGCCTGCATGAGAGGAAATAACTCTCCATACCAGCAGATGGCAGTAGTCTGTAGTCGTCATTCAAAAAAGGAAACCAGAAGACTGACCGGACTGATTCAAGACACTAGTTAGCCAGTTAACACGTTAACAACACAAGCTGATGTTGAAAGAACAAAGGATATTTATACAAATAATTCCAAACTCCTTATACTAAAAAGCTCAAAGGCTAAAAACATAGTCTTGCCCGATGTAACACTTATGCTTCAATCTCATGCCCTCTTGACTTTAACTGTTTGTTTGCTTTTCTCACTTCAGTTTCTCTTCTTGTGCGCTGAGCTTGACTCACACCCCCAAGTAAGCGCGCTGGGCTTTGCAGCCAATTTTTGTAGTGGCCAAACAGTGGTACTACAATTTCCAGGGTCCGTCACGTGATGCCCTGCAGCCCAAAAACACCTCTTTCCATTTACTAAAATTTGGAAAGACACGTCTTTTAATCAGTGAATACATTTTTTTGAGTGACACAACCCCCACGAAATGACTTGTTCCATTGTCAAGATGTAATCCATTTGGTGTGATAACATTTGAAAAGTCTGCAACGAGAAATGGGCTTAATTATTTTGCCCTCATTAAAGTTAGCGGAGTGCTAAACCAGAAGTCAGTTGTTTGGCTGCTGTTAGTCTCAAGTGCACTTGCCCTATATGGGCCTAATAATGTGGAGGCAGTGCTAAACATCCGTGTAATTTCATACCACAGACATACAGTAATTTTGGCTCCATGTGCCACTGAGCAACTTTTATAGAAATGAACTGAGCCCTGCTGTCAGTGCTGTATCAAGGTCTCTTAACAATGTTTCCCACCTGGTGGGCCACAGTCAAAAAGTGGGTTGCGGGTCTTTTCTTAATGGACCGCAAGTGATTCGCTAATGTGACAAGTTTGTAAAAATAACACACCTTATTTTGAAGAACAGTGAATTTCTGGCACAGAGCTTTTATTTTGAAGTGTCGTTTCCTGCTGTAGAATGAGTAAATAACAGACCGATACTTAGCAGAGACAGCAAACTAGCTTGACGACATGGCTAAACGCAAGTATAACGTTGAATATATTAAACTGTTT